TTTTCGAAACAAACTTGACGAGGAAGTTTGCCGCGGATTTATCTTTGCAAATCTTCGTTATTCACCATGTCTCTAGGTGTGGTTATGATGAAGCATTCTAGTCGCCAATTTGGCGGCTACTTTTCAGGATTTGGTCGCCAAAGTGAAAAATTTAGTCGCATTGGCGCCTGTATTAGGCGCAATTTCACGCCCTGTATATATATATATATATGTATAACAAGTAAACTTACCCGTAATGGGTGGTTTTTGAAAATCCAACTCTACTGCACAATTTAAAGCATTCCCCAGTTTGCAGAGGAGTGTTTGTTACAAGTGCAATTCCTAAGCTATGAAGTGAAACCAACCACTCATACAGTTTGTAGTCATCTTCCATCACCTCATGAAAGTCATGACGAGGTATCTTGTCTTGAAGCTACCATATAATCAATATGATCAATACCAGGAGTATTCAATTGCACAACTGAAACTTGTAACCTCTCTTATGGGACACCTCTTTTCATAGTCATGGGACACTTCTATTCAGGAGGCAGAAACTTTCATTCAAGAAAAATATTTATGCGACCTTTGTATTTGTTACCTCTATTGAAGGAACACCTCTGTCCAGGACAAAGGATCACTTTTTTTGGGTCTCAAGACCCCCCTAAAAGCTCCATTTGGGAGACAACTTAACCAGAGATCTATGTCAATCATGGTTTTTTAATACATCATCCACCTGCTTGGACTTCAGCCAGTTCCAAACTAGACATTATTTCTATTGCTAAGTCTTCATAAACATCACACAAAGCACACTAACCCTGGTCCCCTAGGGGCCCCTGAAAGGAGGTTCCATTATATGTTGCAGTTGTCTCAGAATGTTTTGTTGCCCTAATCCCAAAATGATTCATGGATTCATGAATAGGTAAGGTGGCTCTGAACTGAACTGATTCTATTCAAATTTTTGAGAAGGACTTATATCAATATCTTCAATGCAATTCATTGATAAAATGGGGGTCACTACATCTGTCTTTGTGTTACAGGCACGTAGAGAAAAATACAGGGTTGTTTTCAAGGGGCTGTAGAATTGCTGTGGCAACTGAAATCCATTGGATGAATGATCACAACTTCCACTGTATCGATCCAGAAATGACTGAGCAATTCTTACTACCAATTCCCAGAAAAAACAAACGAAAATGTGTGTAGGATAGGATTCATCAAAATATTGATGATTGAACATAACTAAAATTTTTGAGCCACCATTAGGGGAAGTTTCTTTTTTTTTTAATTTAAATTTTTTTGTTTTTTTAGGAAGACAGCTGAGTAGACCATCACGGAGACTAATTTCCGATGAGCACAATTCGCATAATTACCTGTTCAGCGTTCCAAAAAATTACACCGGCCTTGTTAAGCGTTGGGTCTTCTTGAGCCTCAGCTTCTTGCGACTTCTCGGCCAAGCGCCGGGAGTGGAGCCACTCAGAATCAAACACACTGACATGTTCATCTGGCCAAGTGACAGCAATTTGTGTACCACTTTGCAAAATATCGACACGTTTTGGTTGAATGTCCATCCTCAACTGGCCCACTGTATCGAATCTTCGTTGCAGTGAAGACTCGTGGAAGCATTCAGGGCATCGACAGATGTCGCGAAGGAAGACAAACGGATAACGGTTTACTCTGTTGTCGTTCCATGTTACATGTAATGTCCCATCACTTTCTGTCTCTCGAAGGCTTAGCACAGTAGGCACAGGACTTTTGAGGTGAGCCGTCGAAGCAAAATTTACCCTTAAACGCTTTGAAGAAGGATTAAATAAACGCTGACATGGAGAGCCAAATCCACAGACGCACCGCAGACGAGAAAACATTTTTGCCATCAGCATAATAAGATGTCGGTGTTCGTTGAGTAGAAAGAGGTCTTTTCTCAACCGCTTACATACGAATTTAATTAGCAACAAATTAACGCAAACAAGCTGTAAAAGTAGGGCCCAGTTCAGATCCGACTACGAATACGAGTACGATTTTTGTGCGCGGGAGACCTTGGGCTTAGCTGCTATAAACACAATTGTCGCCGTCGTCAGGTCGCGGCAAAAATGTTTCAGTACTTAATGTGAGAACGAAGTGGCAAAATTTTGTCAGTCGTGGAAACGTTTAGCAGACAAACCACACAAGATGCTCTGGCATTTATGTTCACGGAGGATGTCATCGATGAAGTCGAGTTTTCGAAACGGTAAACAAGAAAAATCCATCCTTTCCCTACTGGTCGTACGATCGCTTTGACTTGAATCGCGTCACAGACGAAGAATGCAAGTCAGCCAGTTGTTGCACCTAATGGGATGATAGCTAACCTCTATGGCCCAGTTGGTGAGACATTTCATATGCATGATTTAACTGTCGATCAGTAATTTATTATATTGTTATATTTAGCCACAAGTTAAGGTCCTTGTTGACATACTTATTGCATTCAGTTATTAATTGACAATTATAATTTCTTCCACTATCTCTTTTATTCTTTCCCACATACTGCAGCAATTTAATATGGTGGATTCCCAAGTTCTTCAACCTGGAAGGCATGCGAAAACTGTTTCGAGAAATTTGAGTTTGAGTTCGAGGAATCGGGAGTAAAAATCCATGTTTGAGTGAAACAAATCCAAGGGAAACAACTTTTGGTTTGAGTCATCAGGATGTTCTGGTGTGTATAGGAAAATTTTAAAAAAATATCTACAAACATAACTAAAACAAATTAAAAAAAAGGAATAACAGCTTAATTTGGAACTGTGCACAACTAATTGTAACGTGGTTTTAGCAAATAACTCTCTTTATTTTTGTTTCTTTGTTTGTTTGAAATGTTTTTTTGGTTAATTTCGTGGCAATAAGAGGAAAAAAGTACTGTTCATCGAGTATTGCAAATACCGATGTTTATTGCATAGTCTCCGAACAAGTTTAAGAATGTAGCACCTTCAATTTACCCTGTTCAACCATTCGCAGGTATATTCTTCTCTCTTTCCACTCCTGGCTTTCTTTTTTTAGATCTGAGTCTGATTTTTTAGCGGACAATTTTTCAATAAAGACAAGAATACTTCCATTATTCCATACTGTGTATGCCATTTACAAATTATATGTTCTAACTGGCTAAATCTGGTGACACGAAGATAAACAGATTGGGCCATGTAATTACAATGCTAGTACTTTTCACTTCGATCAATTACTCACTTTAGTATCGTAGTCCAATTCCCCCCCTATGAACCGGTCTGAACATTTCTCATTTTTAGGCTCTCTATCGTAACATGAAACAACACTATAAATGTCTTTTCTTTTCTTGAAAATAATAAAGGGGAGACAGCTCCTTCGATTAATTTTCTTTGCATTGTGGCTACTTTGGTGTTATGAAACCAATTTAGACGAAGATCGTATGACCCGGATTTCTTTAGTCTTCAGCGGTTTCATTTGGTAAAACCTCGAAAAGTGTGTGTGGGTGGGGATGTGTGTGTGTGTTAGCCTTCCCAAGGGGATATACTTAATTTGGAGCGTAATATACTTGATATACAGCGTAATACATCCAGGACTGATCCCTCTTATTACTTGTTTCCCATTGGCATGCACCGTATTTGTACTGAGCTTCGAGTGTTTATGAAGACTTCAACACCTTTCAGATCATTAAAGACAATCTGCAGCAAATATTTGCCAGTTTCCATAACTTTCTTGTCATTTTAATAGGATATTGGCATCAACCCACGCGTGGACTCATTTTAACGATATTAGCGAATTTCCTCACCTTCGTATGCTTTTTTATGGGATATTGCTGTTGATCCTCACTGGGACCCATTTTAGCGATATTGGCGAGTTTCTACATCTGTCCTATGGTTTTGATGAGATATTGACCTTGAGTCACTCTTGGACCCATTTTGGCGATATGAACTAGTTTCCACAACTTGCTTATGAGTCTCATGGAATATCGACATTGACCTGCACTACCCATTTTGGCGATATTGGCGAATTTTCCCATCTTTTCTTTGATTTTCATAACCTAGCTATCAGTCATCCCGAACCCTTCCAGCCGTCTTCCCCTGTAGTTGACCTGGCGTTACAAAAGACCAAACAATGCTTCATGGAAACAATAACTTTTTTTAGGGTAAGCATACATGTTTTTTACAATACCTTTCTACTCTTCAAAAGTATTCAACGGGGAAATAAAACTGCCAAAAAATCTTTCTCTCAAATGTGTATCCAGCACACATGCAATATCATAGAAGAAGCGAATGTTGATAGCTTTATCTTGCACATGATTTTAACCCATTTTAACAAATACACAGCATGTCTAATCCTGGTTAATAAAATTATATTCATTATTAGCCACAATGTCCATGCAGTAATTTATTTGTGGCCTAGTTTCATTGAGTACCCTAATTATTGTTAGTGAACACCTTCTAAAGACGCCGGCCATTGTTTCGCTCGCAAATTTTCAGCATATGCAAATGTTGCGATTTCCAAGACTCGCATTTGATTGGCTATCTGTAAGTTCCTTTGATTATTGTCCGATCAGAATGTCTGGTTTATTACTTCTTTGCACTGAATTAACCCTCGTTTATCTAAATCAATCAGAGCTGAGTAATTTTTTCATGTATATTATTAATTTCCTGATTTTCTGACAAGGAGTGTTGGTTTAACGATCAAGAGCTTCTTAAGTTGATGATCATTTCCGTCATTCTCATAACCTTTATTAGAATGATATTGTGAAGAGAGTGTAGATGCTAGTCACTCCAAGAGGTCAAAGTGTTAAGTGTTACATGCACGTAGGAGGAATAACTTAGCCACTATGAAGTTGTGATAAGTTGCATTGCTGAGATAAATGTGACTAAAGAAATACCGCTTTTAGAACTGGCAAATTTTTGTGGTGAGAAAGTAACTCAAGAGCCTGATTTGCCTGTCTTATTTCTAATCTGTTATATTAGATTAGTTTTGGATAACCTCACAAGTGATGAAAATGTTGAAGAGCTTGCTGACCAAGAAAGAAAATTGCCTGGATCATACTTACAAGAAAGTTTGTAATTTTTGAACAGTGTCAGCGAGGGGTCCCTAAAAACGGTAGAAGACAGTCAAAATAAAGAAAACATAAACGATTCTGGTGGGTTTATTGTGCTACTAAAACAGTTTGCTTTCTTCCCATCTCTCGGAATAAACAAGTCATTCTGGATTCTTAATAAAGCAAAATCCTTTTGCTATGTAATAAATCCCTCATTGACCAAGCTTTTTCCGTCAAGATCATTGGATATTAGCCTCGATCTTTTTTTCTGTTCTTACAAACCTTGACTTCATCTCAGTCCATAAAAATGTAAAAAGAACTCAGCTGACATCCAGCCATCTTGACCTCATTCTGGGTGAATAACGCATATATATTGCGCAGGATGCAGCTGGGAGCAGAGTCTCTACTTTTTCAGTTTAAGATAACATGAATTATTTCTTTCCTCCTATGTTTCCTGAAAGATTGTGTTAGTTCGAAGTAAAATGTATTTGAACATTTACTAATGAGTATTTTCTTTGATTTTCGAAGCTCTATGTTTTAAAAAGACATTTTAGTAAATTTTGAACCTTATGGACAATGTGCATTTACTTTGCACCAAATTCAGTTACTACCAATTGATGAGCCAACTCATGAACTAAAAATGTGACAAGTGTCGTAGAAATTGCAAAGATAGGCAATGTTAAGAGCAGCGTTAGGTTAGAATAACTTTTGAAATTGCAAACATGATGACGTAACCTTTATAAGCCTGCAAGAAGTACCTCTTACCAAAGAAAAAAGGAACTCTCCTTTACAATTTTAGATCAACTAACTACATCTTGCTAGATTTAATTTTGCTTGTTTGTTTGTTTTTTTTTACAATCCAAATGGTATGTTAAAGTGTCTAGCAAGAACTCGCAGCTTTGAGTTAACTGTGTCCCAGTCCATACAAAGAAAATCAAGAAGGCGGCTTGAAGACTCAGTGAGTCGGAAGGCGGATCTACCATGAAACACGCGGTTGTTGTTTAACGATATCAAATCACCAGGCACCATTTTATATTCTATTTGATTGGCTGGACCTCTGAGAATTCTTCCATACTTGAGGTATGCTTCGTACAATTCCACGGTTTTCTCCGGGGGTAGATATAAGAAGGGGTCGCGCACAGCATCACAAAAGCTGAGTTGGCTCAATTTACCATTATTGTCCAACCTGCAACAAAGGCGTCTTTGTTGTGTAGGGATCAAGTAAAGTGGCTAACTAACTTCCAATTGTTCAATTCTCCACTAGTTTATTCACCCAGCAAGTTGAAACAGGAAGCAAATTAAAAAATGAAGAAAAGCAAACAAAAAAAGGAAAAAAAAAGCGGTGACATTAAAGAGGACAAATTGGACTGTGTGGATGTCCGCCTTAATCTCTTTTTTGAGTTTATCTCCTTCAGCTTTGGGTGCAGTTATTTTTTTACATTTTTTGCCATGTATCCGTGCACTGACAACATCTTTTTTTTTTTAGTTTATTTCCATCAGCTTTGAGTGAAGTTATTTTTTTGTGTTGTTTGCTATGACAACACGATAACGGTTGCTACGTTACTTTAAACTTTAGTGCTCCTGATTTTAATCAAAACAAAGACAATTGAGGATGGGTTCTTCGTTTGAAACCAAGTCGTTGGCCCCTAACTTTTAATTTTGAATACATAATCAATGATTCAGAGGGGTTCAGAGCCTCCTTACTTTCTACACATATTAAGGTGGCTCTGAGCCATTTCAATAGCAAACTTACTCTATTGTGGCATGAGAAGATTTTGTGTGAAATTCACCAAACACGTCCTTGCCACGGATACTGAATTGAATTGGAGTGGTAGACAACAGCTTGAAAGACTCTGGGTCACTTTCTTTCAACTGCTTTGCAGCGTGAAATCCGTCAGCAAACTGATTGGCGCCACCTTTGCCCGACACTTGCTCGATACAGTGAAGAATTGTTACCTTAAAAAAAAAAAGCAAAATGAAGTTAAAAACAGGATTTCGATAATGCTTTTCCCGCTCACATTTAACCGAAACTAATAAAATTTAGAAGCAGATTAAGGCAAGATATTATTGCCTGGGATAAACAAATGTTATAAAGTTACATGTTATTCCCTTTTTCACTTGATTTACTTACCCCGGGCTGATAATCCAAATAAGGAAAGTCACTGTGAAGAGGAAGGTCGTCTGTGGTAAAAGCCACGTTGCTAGGGTCAAGCCTGGCCCGTACGCTGACGCTGTGGCTGCAAGGTTGGATACACTTGTCTTGAGGATTATACTCAAATAACGTTACCTTAAAGCAACCCTTAAAATACCAGATACTGGCATTTGATCAGAATTTAAGAACCTCAACTTAATTAGCCATCACAGTCGCAGCTAGTTAATATTACATTACACCATGTTCTGGAGACTCAATGGCATCCATCTCCCCACTAACACACAGATCACTCGCCTGATTTCTCTTGATATGCTGGAATGCACAAGTCCTAAAGGTCTAGTTTGCAATAAACAGTATTACTTTGAAGATAAATCCGGATCTGTTCACTCAAAAGCAGAGTCTTTCTCTTTATCAAATTGAACAATTTGCATCTTTTGTCCAGTCAAGGTCCGTAATTTCAAAATATTTCACTTTCAACAACTGTTAGAAATCATTTGTTGTTACATGGGTAAGTCAACAGCATACTGAGGTGAATTTTGGGAGTATTACCACTACAAGTTCCTAGACACGTTTGGCTAAATTAATTTTAATAATTTCAAATTTTAAATGCTTTAAGGTTAAGTTTGGAAAGTTACTATGCTTCAGAAATTTCTTTACGAGTGTTCAATATCAGATCAGTGCAAAACTGCTCCAAATCAAAAGAAAAAAGGGAAAAAAAGAAAAGTAGAAACAACGACAACAACAAATACACCTACCCGTAATGGGTAGTTTTTAAAAATCCAACTCTACTGCTCAATTTCAAGCATTCACCACTCTGCAGAGGCGTGTTTGTTAGAAGTGTAATGCCCAAGCTATGAAGTGAATACAGCCATTCATACAGTTTGTAGTCATCTTCTATCACCTCTTGAAAGTCATAACGAGGTATCTTGCCTTGAAGCTACAATATAATTAATACCAGTAGTGTTAACCTGCATCACTGTATTTTTTGTCATCTGTTCCACTATGAAAAGCAGTAAACTATTGGGAAACTGTCCACCACTCGAGTCAATGTCTGGGGACAAATCTCTGAGCCAAGTGGGTTTATATATTGGAATGTCTTCTTTGGAACACCTTTTCATAGTCTTGAGACACTTTCATTCAGCAGACAGAAAATTTAATCCAGGAAAAATAATCGTGTGACCTTTGTATTTGTTACCTCTATTGCAGGAACACCTTTATTCACAACAAACGGTCACGTTTTCAAGGTCCTAAGAAAACGTGCTCCCAAGACCTGCCCAAAAGCTCCATCCGGGAGCGCCTTAACAAGCGGTCAACCTGTATTAAGCGGTTACGCAGCCGTTTTCCGCTTAATACAGGTTCGACGGTATTTCTATTGTTAATTCTTTATGAACATCAAGCCAAGCACATTTGCCCTAGTCCCGTTTGTGCTCCAAGGGTGCCCCTGAGTGGAGGTTCCACTGCATAATACAGCTGTCTCAAAATGGATTGTTGCGCCAATGCCGAAAGGTGCTAAGAACCAGAGACTATAAACTATATTCTCTTGCCTAGAGTTCTACCATATCACGAGTCAACTTTGGGCCCGAGTCAGGCGATGGACAAAACATTGACCCCAGTCCAGAGACTACCCCAATGGACTAGCCTAAAATGAACAAATCTTTTTGGTCTATTGTTTTCGCTAACCACAACAAACACCACGAAACTTGGGCGATAATTTTTAACAATCAAAGTCCTTCCCTCGGAAAATATCTCGAAGTCTTGTTAATTCTCTCAACAGTACTTTTTTCTGCTTCAGAAAATAGATTGATGCAGATATTTGCTATGTTCATTGGAGATTCTACACAGATAGCCATTCCTAGATTCAGCGATCCATGTAGTTTACAGCAACGCGGCATGTTGCATAACCCGACACGCTCGGCGCGCTCGGTCCGTAGGTCATGACCACGAGCTAAGTAATTTTTCTTCCGGCCCTCCTACTCAGTCAGTAAGTATATTTTGAAACCCCGGTTAAAGTGATACCCATATCACATGAGAAAAAAAGAAAAGTTTTCATTCCGGTGAAAAAAACGTTTTACCGAGGCATAATATTATTTGTTCTCCACAATTTTGGGCGAGGAAGGAATGAAATAACTTGTAGTGCTGATCCTTTAGCTATGGGATTCCTGTTGTCGCAAGATGGCGGTCGAGTGCGAGAAAGTGCTGGATTCTTTTTATAATCGGAGTCAGTTCCGAAGATTTGTTGATGAAATAGATATTCCGCCTCAGGTGTGTGTGTTTAAAAGAAGTCAGAATCTTTGGGGAAAACTGGTAGATACCTTGAAATGTTCACTTCCTCGAACCCAGCTGTGAACCAGTGTAGGAATAACCCTTGCGAACGGCCGTGAACAACGTTTTAATCCTAAAACTTTGTATACCTGTATCCCTGGTACATCATTTTGACACCGAAATAAAAACAATAACAATAAAATGACTAAAACCAAAAAAAAGAAATTTAAGTTGACTCGAACTTGACTTGGGCCTTTACTTGACTCTTGATACAACTCACTCGCCTACTCTTTATCATTCTTTGCGGGTTTACTGTAGGAGAAATTCTTAACATTCTCAAAAAGTTAACGCGGCTCTGAACTGATTTAACTCAAAATTTGAAAACAGACTTATCTTGAGACTTTCAATGCAATTTATTGATAAAATGGGGGGGGGGGGGGGGGGTCAGTGTATCCGTTCCGTATGTATTCCGTGTATGTATTCCGTTCCGCATGAAGCACAACATAGAGTTGTTTTCAAGGGTCTGAAGTGCTGTTATTTTAACCTTCATAGAAAAAATTAATCACAACTTAATCAGTTCTATAGACCACTTCCAAGGGAACAAATAAAAAAGTAAAGGTTAAGATCCATCCAAGAGTTGGAGATTAAACAAAATAGAACTTTTTGAGCCACCTTGCATGAGTTTTTATGAAGACGGCTGAATAAACCAGTTGGTACATTATATACCGATAAGCACAAATCGCATAATTACCTTTTCAGCGTTCCAAAAAATTACACCTTCTTTGTTTAGTGTCGGGTCCTCTTTAGCTTCATCTTCCTGCGGCTTCTCAGCTAAGCGCCGGGAGTGAAGCCACTCAGAATCAAACACACTGACATGTTCATCTGGCCAAGTGACAGCAATTTGTTTACCGCTTTGCAAAACTTCGACTCGTTTTGGTTGAATGTTCATCCTCAACTGGCCCACTGTATCAAAGCTTCGTTGCGAAGAAGACTCGTGGAAGCATTCAGGGCATCGACAGATGTCGCGAAGGAAGACAAACGGATAACGGTTTACTCTGTTGTCGTTCCATGTTACATGTAAAGTCCCATCACTTTTTGTTTCTCGAACGCTTAGCGCGGTAGGCACAAGGTTTTTAGGGTGAGCCTTCGTTGCGAAATTCACCCTAAAGCGCTTTGAAGAGGGGTGAAATAATCGCTGACATGTAGAGGCAAATCTACAGACATTTCTCAATCGAGAAAACATGCCCCCAGTTGTTGGTGGAAGACAATCGAGTCGGTACTTCCGCCCTTTCTCCCTCTTTTAATCCTCTCGCGTGCTCGCGCGAGAGTACCCGCTCGAGCTTAAAGTCATTTTGCCTCCTTGTCAGCGGTATATTTACCAAATTGTATGTCATTACTTGGCAAGTATGTTGTTTATATGACAATGAATGTACTCTACGTATTTGATTTCAAAATGGCAGGATGTGATAAAGGTACTTGATGATTTTGTTGTGTGTAATATGTATGCTGCCGTTCCTCCGCCAGAGCAATCGATTCCTGAAAGCAGTACGAGTAAAGAAAAAGAAGGTTCTCCGCGTGGGATATCAGAAGAAACGTGGCAGGTATAAAGTATATATCTATTAATAGATATAGATTTGTTTACAATTGCATTGCTTGGTAGGTGTCGTTGGTCTATGGTATCATTGAATTCTTCGAATTTTTCTCGTCAATTTTTGGCATGTATATTGTTACGGATAATAAAGCAGGTCCACATCAGCTTGCTCTTTGGATTCTGTGCTGCGATGCTCTACCACATAGCTACAGAGACTCCATGGTAAGCAAGGCCCATTATGAAGTTCATTTATGTGACACGCATCCTGCATACTGCTAGGATCAGCAATATTGATAGTGTAATGTTTCTTTACCAAGCTTAAAACTTACCATCTTTCTTATTCCACATGTATTTACAAAACTTGACACTATCAACATTGCTGGTCCTAGCAGTATGCAGGATGTTTGTCATATATATGAACTTCGTAATGGTCCTTACCATGGAGTCTCTGTGCCTCATTGGTAGAGCATCGGAGAGTGGAATCCAGGTCTGAAGTTCAGTTCCTCTTGGGGACTCAGAATTTTTTCTTTGTCCCATGCTTGTAACAAGATGATAGACATCTTTCTCTGTCTAGAACTTATTTGACATTGTTTTCTTAGGAATAGTTATTTGATATTAATGGGATCTTACAACACTCTGTATGTAAGCTGGCCTTCTAATTTCTAATCCACATTTCAAGCAAAAAGGCATTTTTAAACCCATCACTTTCTGATTATTTTTCTATTTTTGATGATACTCTGTTGAACATCATATTTTTTCTTAAAACTTCAGAAATTTCAGCAGTTGAGGGAGCGTAGACTGCAATGTTGTAAAGTTTCAACAGATAAGAGGGTTAAAGAACTTAAGAAGAAAGCAACAAAGTCAGGTGAATTTTAACAAAAGAAAAATTAAAATTTTTTCTGTAGAAACAGAGATACTTGCATTGGGAGCTTCAACAGATAGAATATTTATAATCACCTGAAAAGAAATAATTATTTGTTTGAAATGACACATTTATCAACAGATTGTATTGCCCTTAACTCTTTATCCTCTTGATTCCAACATCAATGAAGGTATTTGGGGAATTATCCCATACTAAAGAAGCTCTTGGTTATTAAAAAAGTTATTTTTGTCAGCACATCAAGAAATGTCAAGAAAATAGGAGAATATGTGTACAAATGTTAGGGTATAGAGGATTAAAAGTGTATTCTTATTCAAGAAAGAGATCATCAATTTGAACCTGCAATCAGAATACTTCACATCTTCCTTGTTTTTCTAATTTTCCCCTTGAACAGCATCAACTCCTATTTTACAAATTTTTCCATGAGTATAAAATGTCAATTGCTGATGCGATATTTATTCTCATCAATAGTGATTTCGTAAAACTTTTGACAATAAATTTGAAGGGTAAAAAACAATGTTTCAACCAAACTTTGGTCCTTTTCAAGTGAATAATAAGAATTTCACATAAATATATAATTTATTATATGCGTGTAAGAAGTGTAAAATTTTTTGGAGGTGTAAATGGACAATAAGAACATACAAGGAGAAGAAATAATAAGAAGCTAATTACAAACCAATTTAAAAATAAAAATAAAAATTAAAACCTAATTAAAAACCTTTGCACAAATTGAGTCTGACTGCACATTGAGAGTGGGTCTCAGTTCTTGAATAAAAAACACTTTATAAAGTAGGCAGTGAAATTTGTTTGTATACTTCTTTAAACAGTAAAATTCTTTGTAAGATCCCTTGGGGTCAAAGAATGCTTGTCACAAAAATCAATCGGTGAAGTGGGGTTTCTGTGTTTCTGTGTTCTTGAATACATTGGTGCAGATGGCAGTGCGTAAAACCAACATAAACTGAATCGCACAGGTCACATTTAAATTTGTAAACAAGGCACTGTTGGTTCACAACCTGTGGCTTCGCTTCTTGTAACTTGAGATCTTGTACGATCTTCTGGCTTACAAATACAGGCTGTATTGGTTGTGTGGATCTTCTAACTTAAATCTTTAAGTTGGATGCGTACAATATTAGCTGAGACCTGATCTTTAAATGGTAGGACAACACAAATGGGGTCTGTTCGATTGCTGATAGTTGGTGAGGAAACTGGTTGATTAGATGCTTTGGTGGCAATAAAACATGAGAAAAAAAGAGTTGACAAGTTTGTCAGGATATTTTAGTCCAGAAAACAATAATTTCAGTGAATCACATTCTTCAGAGAAGTAACACCAATTGAATGAAAGTTGAAATACAAGTCATGATCAAGCATAGTTTTTAGTAACCTGTTTTTGTATTGTTCTACTAAATGGCTCTTGTAATGCAGCAGGAGGCCAGTGCTTGTGGGTTTAATGTACACCTTAGTCTCAGCACATGAGTGTTTGTTGAGCAGCTGGGTACTCAAAAAAGGAAGTATGCTTTTACTCTCTGTCTCCATGGTAAACTTAATAGAAGAATGGCACAGGTATAAAATCTCAAGGAAATTGACAGCTGATGTTGTGTCTGGCATGATAGTGAAGTATGTCATCCACATATCTCCTGTAGTATGTGGGCATCTTGCCTTCACGCTTCGAAGTATCCTCATTATATTTATTCAAATAATATTCTGTATGAGAAAGGTTATGTTCATGTGTAAAAGACACAATTTACATAACAGTCGAAGTAAATTTCTAGAATGATTTTATTACACTTTACATCCATTTTTAATCCAATTCTGTAAGAAGAAATAAACAACAAACAAATGTTTTTTTTAAGATTAACTCTTTAACTCCCATGAGTGACCAAGACAGAATTTCTCTTTACGATATCAATACAATATCAAGCAGACAATTGATGAGAATAAAGAAAAATATCAGTCAAAGTATCATTAGTTGATCCAATACCAAGTTCTCAAAACTAACATCACAAGAACTGTACAGACAATAAGGAGAATTAATAATGAAATCTTGAGAGTTAAAGGGTTAAGACAGTATTATCTTGCTATTAACCCTTTACACCCTAACATCAGTATGCATATTCTCCAGACCATTCTCTATAGATTTCCCAAGGTGCTGACATGGAGAATTGGGTTGAAAATTAAGATCTGCTTTAGTTAATTATCATCTCCATCATTCTCATAACCATTATTGGAAGATATTGTGTGGAGAAAGTAGATGCTAGTCACTCTAAAGGGTCAAATGGTTAAGTGGTACATAGAGGTGAGAGGAATAACTTGGCCATTATGTCATTGTTGCACAGGAAATACTACTTGTAAACCAATTTTTGTGGGGATAAAAATAATTAAAGAGCCTGATTTGCCTGTCTCATTCTTAATTTGTTCTATTCAAATAAGTTTTGGATAACTTCACAAGTGATGAAGAAGTTGCAGAGCTTCGCAACCAAGGGGTGATCTTTAAACAGGCCAACAACAAAAGCAGACCAACTGAATTCTCACACAAGCAAGAGAAGTAAGTTACAGAAATATTATTATTCAGATATTTCTGTTGTTGTTGTTACTGTCAATAAAAACTTGCTAAAATACTATTTTCTGTGGTTTTGTCCTAACATGAATAGTAAAATGATATCAACAAATTGTAGAAGAACAGGTTTTTAGAAAGGGTTAGACCCCTTTGAAATCTAGAGGTTGGAAAATACTGTTTGTTTTATTAGATATTTCTTAAACAAAATCAACTTGGATGATGCCTCCCCTGGCATATCCTTTAAAGTGCGGTACTGTTCCACGCTTCTACACCAGCCACCTTCCCTTGCATGGGAAAGAAGCATCTGCTGGGAAATATTTCAAATACATTAAGAAAAAAATTGCCACAGCTTTTGTTAAGGGTTAAAACTTTTTAAAATGTTTTCACTAAAAACAGGAAGGAGGATTCAAACTCTTGTTCAAAATAGTTTAGTGTACAGGTAAATCTATAGAACAGTGATACACTCATCATACAAATAATCTGGTGTTACCAGTATTGCATTCTTAAGCATTTAAATGTGATTCAGCTTCATAGTAATCTGACATAAAAATTATTTGATTTTGGCTGAAAAAAAGCATTAAACACAGAATCCTATAAATATTTATAATTTTCAGGGGTGTAATCAGGGGTGTAATGTGCATTCTCATGTAGTATGCACCAACAAAAAAGTTGTTGAAATCCACGCATCTCCAGAGCTTTTTCATAATGTAATGTAATGTAAGAGAATAGTCTTTTCAAAGGTCAGCCTCTGTAAAGATTAGGATTTCTTATGAATTTGTCAAACATGTTCCTTTTGTTAAATTCACAGAATCAAAAAGCAAAAGGGTAATGAGAAAAGATGGAGTGAACTTCAACAATATTTAAATTCAGCTGTACATTCAGAAGAGCATGAAATGGATCACACAAAACACACACCAAAGGTAATTTTAATTAGTGTTACTCAAATTTTTATGTACACCTATTTTGAAAATTTTATAGCATTACCAGCCCTAGCAGTTTATTAGGAACATAGGCAATTGCATAGCATGTAAGAATTTTTTTTTTGCTAGGTCACTTTGTGTTCCTAATGTTTTCATAACTATCAAAAGAATGAAAATATCCCATTACTTCACTTCAAGAGAAAGAGAAAAAACATAATATATCAAAACCCATGCAGGTATTTTGTGGTCTCTATTTTGTCTCTATTGTCCAATTACTTCTGAGCAAAAATAAAATGCCTACTGTAGTCTCCTTCGCAGCCGTTGTTTGGTCTCATCATGCAATGCCCTCTATTCCCTGTTGGATGATGAGACCAAATAACGGTTGCAAAAGAGACTATGCTTACAGCCACTCCTCAAACAGAAAGAAAATTAAAATTATTTGTCTGCAGTTAACCACCTCAAAAATATAATTCCACATAATTCTACTGGAAAAGGCAGACTGAAACTGTTGAATCTCCAGAAGACCCTAACCAAAGATGTGATCTTGTATGAGGGAAGATACACTGAGCAAGAGAAAAGGATAATATTTCAAAGAGGGCTCCTTGATCAGTTGTTGCCTATCTGGACTTTGCCCTCCTTGTGTGAAATATGTGATAAAATGCAAGTTGTTTACGAGAAATTAACATGCAATTGGGTTAATTCCAAGGTAGCTTAAAGGCAATTTTATTCACATCAGTGAAAATGTGTGAGAATGCATGAAAAATTCACTATTAGTTGTCTAAAGTTTCATGTGAATTTTTTTCAGTGATGTTGGATAATATGGTTAGAATACGAGATAAAATGCAGGTTGCTATCAAGGAAATGACATGTGAGGGAGCGAAGTCTAATGTGGCAAAATAGAATTTGATTGGTAGAATGCAATTCAAGCACTTGAAAAATTGCCTAATGTTCATGTAGTGCAATGATTGGGTAGTTTCTGATTGGACTTTGGATGTTGTTTTCACAGTGCGTGATGGAATGTAAGTTGTTTGACATGTGCATTGTGAGAAAAGGAGTGGAAAGAACATGTTTTAACTTTAAAATTATGCAATGAAAATAAACACAAACCTTACTTATTCAGATAAATCTCGACCTCGTTCGATGAGGCTCGTGCAAAGACCACAATCATAACACTCATCAAATGAGCCCAAAATTTCTGGTTAATGTCATTTTTTGTGCACAGCCCCCTGATTCCATGGCATCATTAACAAGAAAGCAATACCCAAATGCTGTGATTGGTGCATGATATCCAAATGCTGTGATATGATTGGTGCAAGATATATACCCTAATGTGGCAATCTGATTGGTACAAGATACATACCCCAGTGTAGCAATTTGATCCATGCAAGATATATAACCTAATGCAGTGATGTGATTGGTGTGGGTAACATACCACTCTACATGCTAACATAGTTATTTTTTTAATTAAAAAAATAACTCAATAAATTGTATCTGAATCCAATAAGTGAAGGAGAATGCTTGAAATAAACACAAGGCCATAGATTTTGAGTGCTTGCTAAAGATGGTACCTCAACATACAATTATTTGCTTTGATTTTCTTTCAACCACTCTTATTAAATACTACATTTAACTCTTATTTTTGGCTTTTCAGGATGAAATTGAAAGAAATTTGGAGGTTGCACTTAAAGAGAAGAAGTTTGAACTTTCAGAAAAACTGAACAAGCAACTTATGGAACATGACTTTACACTAAAAGTTGCTCAAGCTGTTGAATGTAGAGACTATTCAAAGAGAAAAGCTGCTGAGGATGAAAAAGCTAAAAAGAGAAAACGATCAAAACCTCATTGGGCATTTGAACAAAAGGCAAGATGGGAAAGCAAAGGAAACATGTAGAAATGAAGTACAGTCTAGGTTGAAGCAGAAATGGAGCCAGATAAGGCTCCATTTTTTGTGACTGTTTCATGTCACAGAAGTTTGAGGTTACCAGTCCTGGTGAATGAGGATGAAGCTGCAATTGACTGAGAATAACATGGAATCAATGCACATGTATCTGTGAGCATATCTGATTTGAATCCACCCATCAAAGGCCAAGCTCAGGCAAACTTAAATATTGCAAAGGGGGCCTTGATCCTATTTCATGCACAAATTTTAGAAAAATTGCACATCAGGTGTATTTTAAACAGCATTCCATGCATCAAAAGTTAAAAGGGAAAACCTCAAAAATCTCATCTCGTGTACTCTCATGCCTCTCACTGGTTCTGCCTCTCATCTTCCCGTAAAATTCACTCCTCACATATAAATTTTGGTGTTGATCTTGTATGACATGTAAACCCATTTGCCACCCAGTTGAAGTCTATCAGTGAAATAAGGCTAAAGCACAGCCAGCTATGACATAGAATCAGAAACAATTGCAGAGATCTGTCAAACTTTAATAAAAGAAAATTTGTTCTGTGCAATAGTGAACCATCTTCATTAACTTCTTATGCTGCTCATTGTCCAGCGTGGTTAAGATATGGGAAAAGATTGTGGCTGAGCCAATGAGCTGCTTGGTGCAAAAGCTCAAGGGGAAGGGGTAGGGTAGAAAATTCCTCACATCTTACCGGCTTAGATGTCTTTTTAGAAATGTCCAAAATCTAAGCAGCAGGAACATTAAGTCTTGAGATATTGCCTGTGGAACTAAGCATAATATTATGTTACTAGCTTTCATCATGCAGGGTTACACATTGCAGGCCTGCCAGAATTCTGGGGCATATTTAGGACAGAGAATAGTTGCTAGATTGTTTTTGAGGCTGATGAAGTTCTGCTTTGCTGAGTAATGAACTTAACAATGGTAGTTATAAAATAAACAAGGCTTTTCATTCCATCACATAAAGATGACTGTGTTTGTCCCATGCCTATAACAGATTGAGCAGTTTCATGAATAAAAGTACATATGGTTTTTTCTTTACATTGAAGCTTAAGAATGTGCATATATGACAAATTGTTAAGTTAAACAACTTTGTACACTTTTCAAGAAGTCGTGATCATGTCATAGCTGACTGACTTTCAATAGTATTTCATTGTACCTTTATTAAAATAACATTGGAATACCCAGTGGATTTTAGTCTCTGGGGAATACATCCTTTATTCTTAATCTTACTGACTTTGTTAGGGATTAATTTGACAGTCTGAAAACAAACAAACGAAACAAAGCTCATGGATGTCTTTATTAGATAAATTTGCATTTCTTTCATTCCTTATTCTTGGGTAGGAATCCAATATCTTACCAAGATGTTCATAAACAGAAAGCTTGATATTGATGTAAGATACTCTTAAAATTAAAGAATTTGATCAGCATCATTAGTTTTGTTTTCTTTCTTACTGGTATTTCATGGAATGACGTCAATGCAAATGTTCATAAGCGTAACCCACATTGAGGAAAGAAGCAACAGGAAATATTAGTAACTGTGAACAAGAAGTGAGAACCAGAAATGTGGTCATGTGCAGATGTATCCCTACTCCTTGGTAAAACCTTTTCTGGAGAACAATCTTGGTTACACCTCTCTCTCCCTCTTTAAGTATTGCCCATCACAACAATGATACTTATGATCTTCAGTAGATGAGCAATATTTACTCTGATCTATTGTTCTCATACAAGTTGTTTTACTTTGTGGTGTATCTATTTAAACTTTTAGAGTTAACTTTCACTCTGGCTCTGTAACATTATATCCCTGGTGTATATCACCATTAGTAAATATTATGCTACTAAATAAAGAGTATGCGAAGACTTCTGTATGTTACATGTAGGTCACTGTAGGATGTCACAGTGGATTTGCTTCGCTTCATCTCCATGTTTCCTTTAGTTTCAAGCATGACAGCCCTTGTTTATTACTGCAAAAACTTTTTTGCCACATGGGTTTCTTCTACTCTGGGTTGTCAGTGCTCGACTGTGGACAACTTCTACTCATGAATAAAAATAAATCTTCACAAAAACTTTCTGTCTTTGGAATCCTTATGCTATTTTTACCTCAACAGGCTGCCTTAATTGCTAAACTAAGCGGAATAACATCAAACCAAGCGCATTGATATTGTTTATCTGTTTGGAAATAACAAAGCACGTACTGGATATTTGTATTCCTGAGGTCATGTCAATTTGTCAATGTTTGATACTTAAGTTTCAGCTTCATTATATTTCATCAGGAAGTGGTGTTTTGATAACTAATAATGTGCATGAGAAAATTAGGTGCATCTGATTGGCTGAAAACAAGTGCATTTTTCATGTAACAAGAGCACAAAGTTGTAAGTTGAGTGAAACTACAAATAGCGCACATGTGCTGCTAAAATTTCGTCTGTCTTGCCTGTGATGCGTTTTTCATGTAACCTGTCAAGTAATAAATTGTGCTATTCTTATGGGCTCCTCCAATTCTGCTGTCTCTACTTGTGAACACCACAATGCACTCAATATCATGTTGTTAACTGAACTTAATTTATGTGGCCATAAATGATGATGTAGGTGGTACTATTCTTGTTCATCCCTAATCTTCTTGAAATTTAACAGGCAATAATGGGAAACCTCAAGGGTGGATGTAGACTTCTGGTAACCAGCTTTGTTAGTTACTAAGGGTGTATGTGTCAGTGGGGACAAATTTTGCAGTTCTGCTGCAAGAGCCATTAGATATCAATCAGCAGACTTTGGCTTTTCTGTCAGTCTATTGCACCTTTTGCTTTGTGGTAAATTTCAAAATGGAACACAAAGAATAAGGTTTATGTATCATGTGTGATCAAAATGGGAGGCTGCTATCTTATGATTACCCTTTGGCAGAAAAATTAAAAGAAATTGTGTCAATCTATTGACTGCCCAACAACCTCAAAATTCACCAGTACGCTTGAGCACATATCATGCCCTTGAGCTACCTCATACTGGCCCAACTACAGATCACGCTTGCACTAACACAAACATTCAGAGTCAAATGTTCGAAACGATTAATTTACTTTATCTCTCCGTTTACATAACCAATTATGAAATAAATAAGATGCCAACTCGACTTTGAATACAAAATGATCTATACACGAGTACAAAATTCTTTAATCGTTAGCAACGTACGATGTTGTTACGAAGACAACTCAACTTACGAGGCTTGACTTTCGCCTTGAAAAATTAAAAATGACTATACTGACCAAATGATGCCAGTAAAAAAATTCAAACTCTCAATAATATTAAGTTTAAAGAAGTTCGAACAACTTCTGCTAAAATAAGCATCCTGAAACTTATTGACGCTATAAGACGAGGGTTAGAGTTCGATTCCAAGTCCTTTCTAAGAAGTTCTCGCTAAAATCTAATTTCAACTTGACACTTTTCAATCTTTCATTTCAAAATCCAAGGCCCACATATCTGTATTGGATATGCCCATAAACGTTCAAACTACTGTTATTATTATAAACCCACTCTCGAGATTTCCACTGGTTCGGTGAATAGCACATAACACGATAATTGTCTCCACTATTATTGTCCCAAAATTCTACTCCTAGTACCTTGTAGCACACGGCAAACTCCAGTTTGCAGTCTTTGATAAGAGTTGTCGGTATAGCTATTTCAAATGAGAAAGTATCTGTGATTCCATTGTAAGAGCCATGTACATAATTACCCACTACATCACGAAAACTTGACCAGCCATCGATCGTGTACCGCACTGTAATTCTTTTTTCGTACGCCAGATTCCGAACTTTCACTGTTCCAAAGACCCCAAAGTTCCGCAGAACAATATTTTCTAGGGAAACGTTAAGGCTGTTAAGTCTTTCATTGAAGTCTCTTTTTTCTACTGGCTGTAAAAAATTTAATAGTTTAGCTTTCTCTTCGCATCTTCGCTGTTGAGGTAATTTCGTTCTCGTAGGAGGTTGCGGTAAATAAAATATGGATACGAGAGCAAGTCCCATTGAATCTGCAAAATGCACTCTTTTATCCTTTTTTACAAGCTCCGAGTCACTTTTTCTGCAAGAACCTAATTTAACCACACACGATTTCAAAGACTGAGTTGGAGGCATTTTTCCTCGTGTACCACCGTGTAGTATTAAAAAAAATTATCCACTATTAGAGGAGGCCAAGAGTTTCCCACACAATTATTACAGGGGAATTTGCAATAACGTACACAGTTTTCTCTGGCTCAATTCGAACGACAGCTGTGAAACTCTGCAACCGGCAAGAATGGGCTCTGCGCAGAATATGTCCTAATTTAAACGAGCCCTAAATATCTTACGTTTCATTGCAGTACAGTGTCTGAGTTTGTTTACTAGTCAGTATCCTTTCACGTGAACATTGTCGAACAAATCAAAAGCGACCAATCGCAGTGAACTTCCTCTCCACACGCACACGTGAAATTTGCGTAATGACTTATTGTACAAGGAAATTTCGTGCGTGAAACCAGAAACTATGTCCTTAGTCACTCTTCCGGTAACGCTTTGTTCTCGCTCTCTAATGAATATACCACTAGGAATTCGTCGACAGTGTGTTAATATTATATGCTGTCAATGTTTGACTCTCAGTCCTCTTAAATTCCGACTTATCGGCGAATCTTGCTATGCGATTTTAAAGTCGTCAAATGTTTTTCGTACTTTCCTGCATTTTTTTCGCGATCTTTCATCGTCGATGTCACCAACATGTCCAGTTACAACTACATCACGTGCTCGTAAATACGGTGGTACCATATAACCACGTGCACTTTCATTTGCTCTAATTTTCCCTCATAGTTCTACTTCCACGCGAAAAGCTTGTTAAAGACCATTTGAATAAAAACATACTTTGTAAACATAAATATTATTGCGACAGGAACTCTATTTACGACCTTTCTCGGGGTGGTTGGAATTAGTTACGTAAGGGCAGGTGTAAGGGAATGAAGTTATATAACCTAGATGGCACCGTGATGCTGTGCGTGATGCCATAAGGAAGTCTAGATAGTTTCTCATCGCTGTTTCAGTAACGAAATAAATGAAAACCAGTTTAATACCAATTAAGTGCGTCTTCAAAAGGGACCACACTAATATTAGACGCTAAATAAATTGTGCGTCTTCAAAAGGGACCACACTATCAGATGCTGAATAAATAGTTCGGTCACGCTAAGCCAATTTGCGTGCGGGGATGTCAAAAGGGGGTCAATACCTCCTCGATTGGTCACGAGAGGGTCTCAAATCCTGTGTTACACGTTCTTTCAGCAACACACATGAAACATTTCATCAGGTCACAACGTATCGCAAAATAGCTGAGTGAACGTGATTTTGATAATGCGACGCATGATTCGTGGTCAAAATTTTTCGCAGAATGCTCACAGGTTCTTAGCAGCTCTTGTTAACTGATGACGATGTAGCGCAAAGTTCTATGCCAGGACTGTCCGACCTGACTTTTCCGATCTCAAACTGTTTGTAAATCGGACGGGCCAAATTGTACATTAGGTAAAAACACTTAGACCAAGCTAAGAAACAAAATCAAGGAAAGAACAATTGAGTACGAAGGTTGCCTATTACTCTAGCTTCGGTTTGAAATGGCACCAGCGAATTAGTTTAATGGTCCAAAGTAAAAAAAAAAAAAAAATAATAAAAAAAAAAAATATATATATATATATATATACACACCCACACTGCGGAGTTTTTGTAGTTTACGTCAAAATTCAATGATAATCGCGTTCGAAATTTAAAACCTAAGGACTCTATTGGACGCTTTTGAAATTAGTTCCACTCAGCCATACTGATGTTAATTAGTACAAAAACTTTTGTATAAATTTCCCAAAGTTTCCGTTCTTGTAATAACTACATCAAAGTGCTATATTTTCCAAAATTCGGTCAAAATTCGCTGGTTGCATAATAGAGGAGATCAGCTATATCTTGCAAAATAATACTTCAAAAATTGGCACGTTGCGACAAGCAGAAAAAAACGACGTTCTTGAGCCGAAGAAAAAAGGGAGACACTCTCCCTAAATATGCAATATGGGTTTCAACACCTCTATCTCCTCTCAGGTGTTGGAGAGCAGCAAAACTTTTGGTCTAAGTTGCACGCAATCTCTCTCTCCATAGGATTGTTGCAAAGGGCACTACGTTGTACAGGAATGGAGAGTCTGGCGAGCAAAGATTTTTAACTCCAGTGACCAAAAAGAATTGAAGTATTGATGAGTCTTCTCTCTTTCAAAGAAAGAAAAAACCGTTTTCACTTGTAATAAAGAAAACAATAGTTATACTGTAATAAGGCGTCGAGGGAAACTTGCTTGAAAATAGGAATTGAGGAAAGTGAATAAAATTACGCTCATGAATTTTCTTACGCGAAGCCTCTCGGCTATCCAGTTCCCTCAAGCAACCTACAAAGTTAAAATCGCAGCCGAAAATCTTTTGTCTGCAATCACTGTTTGTAAACATTAAACATCTCAGTCAAAGTAGACAGACAAAACACAGTTCATCCAAGTATCACAGAAGAGATACGGATCCATTGGTGAGAAGTGGTGCTACAGCGCTGTAACGCATGATATATTGTGCTCTGTCCTCTAAGTCAATGGGTTCCTCACTAAGAAAGCAAGCAAAGGAAGGTAACAATAGTGAGTGTAAGATCAATAACAGCACGAGGTCACGGAATTTGAATCCATTTTGCAACTGCAGATGAATTAGTAAGAGAATACATGAAATTTGAATACAGTCGATCTTCAAGACTGAAGTGGACCTACAAGTCGCACAAAGTTAGGGTTGCACTAATAATACTCACTCAGGATCTATCATGATTTGTTCCTGATTTTCCAGAACCTTTAAAAACACATATTTGTCCATGTTTGGCCGTGGAACTGAAAAGAAATTCATTTGATAACAATCACTCTTTGCCCCACATGGTTACAACTATATTTGAAGGATCATACACTAAAAATGATTTTCAACTGTTGCAAGAAATAATATAGGCATTGAACAGCGTCCTAACATCAGTGAAACAAGAAATTTGCCACCTTTTCCTTTAACAAAGCTTCAAACTTTTCCATTATAATCTAACCTTTATTATTTCATGACCCAATGCTGTCATGTCTCTTCTTATTTTTCCTTTTAACTACTGGAAACTTTTGACCAACTACTGTTGAATAATTGTGATATTTTTTTCACATGGAAGGCTACCATAGCAACACTACAGACTCTAACAAAAAAGCCCTTGTATGTTAGTAGGCTGTGCTTTTCACTTAAAAGTGAATTTAGTGACCTCAGTAAATTCATTACCAAAGTACAATCAGTATAATAAAATCTTTTTTTCAAAATTAAGATAGCTTTAAGCCTATGACACACTACAATGTGTCATAAGGACTAGAGGTTAGTTTCAATTCATTAGCAGATTGCAGAAGGTAAAAAATATGGTTTAATTGATCCATTAAAAACATATGTGCTAAGACAATAAGAAAAACGTTTTGGGACTCTTTGTCCTCTTTAACAAAACAACAGCTCTTCAACGTAACAGTATCTTAATAGTGAGCCCTAAGTGGAAGCTCCCTTTTAATATTCATACTCACCTGCTTTCTTTCTATCAATATTCTGCATGTTGGCTGGCATGTGTTGCAATGCCAATGATTTCAACAGACCTTCCATGTTGTCTGCATATCTTTAAAAACAAAAATTAAATTTATCTGTTGAGAAGCATTTTTTTAGCTTAGTTTAACACTTTTACACTTAAAAGAAATACCTCAGCATTGTTTAAGTTAAACTGCAAAATAATCAAATCCACAACCCAGAGATGTCTACTATTTAAAGCGAGATAGCCAGTTGACTCACTCCTTGGCATACTGAAGTTCTTCTGGAGACAAACATGAGGGTTCATTTTCTTCTCTTGCTGCTTCCTGTTCAAGCACATGGACAACATGCTTTTCAATCTAGAAGATAAAATTTTACAACATAGTGAAGCTTGAAAACAACAGCAAAAACTTGAAATTGTGTGACAGTGATATAATACTTACCTTTTCTAACCTTGTTCTTGTGTAACTACTCAGTACAAATCGTATTCTGTCAATCTATGAAATAAGAATAAGTCACATGTAGCTATAAACTGCTGTTCACAGCTTAAATAATTGATAACTTTGACGATGCAGAACAATTCAAAGTAGTTCACAGGCCACATTTTAGAGGCAATGTGAAGAGTGTTTTATTGTGTGAGAAAATATCAGTCTCACCTCTAATTTATGCAGTGATGCTACAACATCTCCCTGCTTTATTTTCTTTAAATTTCCTTCCTGACACAAAAACAAAAACTGATAAACTAAGGGGTAACATTAGTATTACTAAATAAAATTAAGTAACTGATTACAGTGCCAGTCCCCTTTATTATTTTAGGAATTTTCAATCCTTTTACCAGTTGAATTTTCAAGAATTCCAAGTGATTTAAGGCAGTGATAAGAGGTACTAAACAGTCACAGCTTTAAGTGCTGATATGTGGATAGGAACTGATAACAGAAGTGAGCAAAGTCAAATTATTAGGTCTTTGAATATGAAAAGTATACATACCTCTTAACCATGTTCAAGGTCTGACCTGTAAGTTACAGACCAATTTTTTTCTGCTTTGATTTATGACCCAAGTGTAAAGCACACAAGCCATAAACCCCAGTGGAAAAAAAATTAGGTTTTGTAACTTACAGTCAGTACACACCAAGAAAACTAGGTTAGTAAGAAATTTATTATATCTCTGAGGAACATTTCAACTTGAACAAAATTTTGAATATTTTACAGCCTGCTAAATTGACTTGTCAGAGCATAGCAACTAACTAAGAAATATAATAAGACATAACACAAACTAAAGTCAAATATTCATTTCTAAAATCACCATTTCTTTGATCTGATCTAGCATGCACTCTACGAGGTCTGCTTTGCTTTCCAAAAGCTCAGGAGCAAATTTTTCGTTCATCCAGGCCTAGGAGATACAAAGTAGTGGTTACTGAAAGATCACTATAACTTCCTTGTGCCATAAATGCTCTGAAATGTCCACCTCTCTAAAGATTAAGGTTAAAAAGAAATCCACTGCCTTGAAACCCTGAAATCTGACATTCCTTGCTGATTGAAGAGTTAGAGGTGATGGGTATTTTGAGGTTATTGTTAGTTGCCAGTGATTAAGAGTAAAGAACATTTGAGTATCTCAAGAGGGTTTCATGTTCACTCTCCATCATCTTCTAATGGGTTGACGACACACCATAATTTTTTATCACCACCCCCACCCCCCTCCCCCCCCACCCCAAAGATGGCAAATTTTGGGCAAAGCGGAATCACCTAAAGAAAGCCAACAAGTTTAGACCCATCAAGTATTTTTTCAGAGGTGCTGGCAAAAAAATGAGCCATTCAAATTCTGGAGGAGGCGGGGGGATAAACAATGGGCGAGGCTTCCAATGAACCCCTTACATCAGTATGCACACAGTTATTTGGTTGTTTGCTGTGGTTCTTGCCTGACCAAATGTGTTGAAACGAATTATCTTAACACTGATTTTCGCGATGAATATAAAGAAGGTTTATATAGGAGCAAAGAAATGTATTCGTTTCAATCAAAGCACATGTAAAGAAATCTCGAGGTGCATTGATTGTCTAAAGCCACGGCGAGAGTTCGACTTCGTTGAAGAAACGGCCCAACTGGTATATACTGAAATTATGATCACGGTGTAAATTAAAATAAAGCAAAACCCACGATAAAGTTATGCTTCTGTTTAGGTGACATTTTAGTCGTTAAAATAGAGAATCGGTCAGCCTTATCGATAAAAAAGGGAAAACAATTACTGAAATCGATCTTACATTTTCAAGTTGAACGAGAACCTCAGCGGCAGTAACTTCAATTTCTTCATCACTCTCGTCGGCTCCTACAGTTTGCCCGCTCAGTAAGAAATCAGGTTCTTCCCTGTGATCCATCGAAATAAGACGGAGAGGTTGCTCTTCAAGTCTTTTACAATACACTTTTAATTGAAAAATGAAGAGAACTCACAAAAATTTTGCCATGATGGAAGCAAATTTGGCGCGAGAGGCACTAGTGCCCAGGCTGGTGCAATCCGATGTGACCGAAACTGACTTAGTCTTAATTTAATAATGGCGTCGTTTTAAGGAATCTAAAGGAAGGAAGAACTGATCAAACTAGAGCATTTTTAAAGCACTTTCGTCAACCATTTAGTTTTTGTTGACAACTTGCAGTTAAATTTTCAGATTGCTTTCCCACAGGCAGTTTGAAACTGACCGGGTTGTATCGTATTCTGTGGGTCATCTTGTTGGTTGTAACCGGTAACAATAGGTAAATCACTTGCTTTAAAATCATGGAAGGGGTGAAGAAAATTTACAACAACATTACGAAATCTCCGCGTGACGATCGCATGTACCGAGGTGTAGAACTCTGTAACAACATGAAAGTTCTTGTGATCAGTGATCCATCAACTGATAAATCTGCGGCAGCTTTGGATGTTCACATTGGTAAGATTTCCATGAAAAAGTACGACAAGCTTTACAATTGGATTTTAATTTGAAAACTTGGCTACGACAATTGCACGAAAGACACCGTAGTGGGGCTGTAGTATATAAAAAATGTCAGGTGGGGACCCATCAGAAACCGAAAAAACTGGATTTAATTTCCATAAAAGCTGAAAACTGCCATCAATGACTAGACTGAAGTTAAACAGAAGAATGTTTACCCTCTTACTAGATTTCAAGGCTTATTAGTATGAAATTCCATCGAAAAAGCATTGTACATGGCTTTTGATCAATAATGTATTATACAAGATATGTGATGAACATGGAAAAAAGATGCTTTGTATAATTATGCTCCACTAAAAGTACTCAGAAAAAAGGTGACACAGAATCTTTGATCTTTGATTGCTGTCATTAATAATTCATTCTTGTCAGAATTCAGAATTAAATATATTTCTAAATATAGCATTCATGCATTTCTGTATGTTCTGATTCAAATATTCTTTTAGTTTAAAATGTTTCAAACCATTTTTTTGCCTTTATTTTGAAAAAAGGTTAAAGGTTAGATTTAGTATTTTCCTGTAGTACTAGTTAGTTCGGTTGAATTTTTTTGTTTTATTTTTGATTACTGCACATATTCTTAAATTTAAGGTAGTATGAGTGATCCATCTGAACTGCCAGGACTTGCTCATTTCTGTGAACACATGCTGTTTTTGGGCACAAAGAAAGTAAGATATGAGCCACCAGTCTATAGTTTTATCTGTGATACCTTTTTAGGTGGAGAAATATAAACACACTCTTAATGGAAGTAACTGAAATTTTAACCTTTTAACCCTCTTGAGTGACCAAGACTCAATTTCTCCTTACAATATTATAACAATATCAAGCAGACAAGTAATGGGAAAAAGGTAAATATGAATCAGGGGATTATCAGTTGATCAAATACCAAATTCTCCTAACTGACATGATAAGAATTGTATGAAAGACAGTAAGGAGTACTAACAACAAGATCTTGGCGGTGAGAGGGTTAAGGGTTGATTTTTTATGATTTTTTGAGGTAGAGTTAGGATGATTTATAAGCAATTTAATTCCTAAATTACTACATGTAGGATTGCCAATGTTAAATATTGCAAGAATTCAGTTGTATGAAATACAGTGTTTTCACTTACATTTATTTTGGAGGGGAGTTGGTATGTTACTGGTAATCTTAATACTAAACTGAGTGAGGTAAAATTGCACAAAAATTAATGAAGACTTCTTTGGTGACAGTTTTTTTTTTGTTTTCTTTTTTTTTTTGGCTCTTTAGTATCCATCGGAGAATTCATTTACTCAGGTATGAACATTAAGAAGTGTCTGATAGTATGTCAAAAACACATATGTCTCTATGACTGTGCAAAGTTCATGACAAATTTTAACAGATCTTAGCTTGGATGAACTTTATTTGTGCTTTTATGAATTTATCTGGGTTTCTTTTTTCAGAAAGTCAAAAAGAACTTTAGTGAGTTACCTTGTAGTTTGAAGAAATTCACTTCAGTTCTTTTCTATTGGCCCAGAAATTTGATGTATTATAAATGTTTCAAGACATCCTTTCAAAATGTGGTTTGCCCAGTAATTGGAAATAATTAGGTTGGCAAATTACACATTCTTTGAAGTGACCATCAACAGGATGGAACTGATTGGATTTTGAAAACTCAATTTTTGGTTTTCTGTTATGGATACTGGTAGTAATTTTTTGAATGGTGAATTGTACCTTGCAGTTTTTAAGTGAGAATGGTGGATCCTCTAATGCTTTCACTAGTGCAGAACACACAAATTTTTTCTTTGACATTAAACACGAATGTCTACAGGAAGCCTTGGATCGGTAAGTCAAGAGTAGTTTTAAGTTTTTTATAAATTATAGCAGTCATAACCAATTATTTGAGACATAATATTTTAATTTTTTTTTAAAATACAATTCTTTTTTCCTTTTCTTTTTTAATTGATTGATCAGTATGTGTTACCATTTTTCATTGCAAAAAAGTGTTCTTTTATTTTTTAATGTTGCTGCCTCAACTAAGAATTATGTCATTCATTCATTAATCATGCTCATGATCATGTGGGAACATCTAAAAGCATTAGCAAATAAAATGGATTCAAGTTCCTCAACTACAATTCAAGAACATGACTTTTTAAGTTATCTTAAAAATGTTGCATATGTATCCCAAAGAGGTTTGTAACATGATTGGTGGCAGTTCACCATTTTAAGTGATGCATCTTCTACTCTCATGCTACTCTGTTATTAAGAAGTGTAGTAACTTCTGGTGTTGGGGTTTTATCTGATGTTAAATTTGAATTCTCTTCGATGTATGTTTGGATTACAGGTTTGCACAGTTTTTTCTATGCCCACTGTTTAATTCAGATGCAACAGAAAGAGAAGTCAATGCTGTTGACTCAGGTGAAGACGTTATTCAATAATGGAAATATATTGTTTATAGAATAAGATATTGATAATATTTATAAGCAGTAGTTTAGTATATCATAGTATATCAAATTATATTGACATTATAGTCTTGCAGTTTTAGTAGTAATTTAGTATATCATACATTGATGTGGTCCTGGTGAAAAGTCTGGATCATTTTCAGTATCTGAGCAACTGTGCAATATACCCCTCCCCTTCCCTAATCCAACACTAATCCTGACCAGTTGACTGTGGTTGTGTTAGGGGAGGAGTAGGTGTGCAGTTGATCAGATACTGAAAATGATCTAGACTTTTCACCTGGACCATATCAATGTATGATATACTAAATTACTACTAAAACTGCAAGACTATAATATCAATAAAAAATTCTAGAAACCATTATGTCTGATTAATTGGATGGTTTTATTTTATCTCTCCTTTTTTAGAACACTGTAAGAATGTCTTAAGTGATTCTTGGAGACTAAACCAGTTGGACAAGTCTTCAGTCAGTCCATCCCATCCTTACAGTAAATTTGGATCAGGTACACGATTTTGAGTCAATATAGATTTTATATTAAAATATGTATTAAAGAATTGAGTCACAATGCTACATATTTGATTGAAAAATATTTTGTTTAGGTGGCTGCCTTAGTCAGAACCACATCTATCTCTTTTCCTCTGGTTCACGGGCGTGCCAGTAACTGATACCTTTGCACCTAACATCAGTATTCATATTCTCCTATACTGTTCTCCATACATTTGCTAAGTTACAGACAAGGATAATTTTCTTAGTAGTCAAATGCTTCAGTCTTCAGTTGGTGATCATTTCTTTATTCTTGGTACCTTAATGTGTTATGCTGTGGTGATATTATAAGGAGAAATTAGATGCTGGTCACTCCAACCTATAGGTTAAAGGGATGAGGGAGTACACCAATCATGTATCACTTATGGTTTCTAAAAAGCCAGGCATCCATCGGTGTGGACTGAGGGGTGCTTTATGACAAGCCAAAACAGCTACTGGTGATTGGGAGTGGACTATGCACACTCCTTAATCCCAGATCTTTTACATTTTCATAACTGGTAAAACTGATTTGGATCTTTGTTGCAACAGGTAACAAAGTTACTCTTGATGTCAAACCAAAAGAGAACGGACTTTGTGTGCGTGATGAGTTACTGAAATTTCACAGTTCATATTACTCAGCTAATATCATGGCATTGACCATTCTAGGCAAAGGTACTGTATCACTATATATGCGTTTAGGTATAATTACAGTTAATAATTGTGAAATATTGTGTATGATATTTAACTTCCACTTTTGGAACATGCAGTGACCCATGCTTGTATCTTCCAGAGGTCAACACCGATTCATGGTCCCAGCTACATACAAAAACCTTGAGTTTGGAATGTTTTATTTTCCTATACAGTAGGAATCAGATGTCTCTGAATGTGCAGATTTTTTCTTGTTTTAAAGTGGCTAACTTATTAAAACTTATTTGTTGTTTTAAAAGCCACATGTACATTGATTAATTGATGCCGTCAAAAATTTTTATTTGTTTCCTTGAAAATGATATCAAACTTATATCAAATTATTGCTCCACAAGCTGTGCCAATTCCTGTGACATGACATATTTCCATAGCACCATCATATCCTTCTTTAAAAAGCCTCTTTGTTTCACCTCTAATGTTGGTAACGATAATCTGAGGTTGCTCTGGACCTACCCTGACTGATTTGTTGAAAAACTCCTTTGGGAATGGAAGATAAAACTTGATAATCATCTTATTGCAATTTGAAAATTGGTGATCTGTAAATTAGTTTTTAAGCTAAAATAAGGAATTGTTCAAAAGAATGTTTGGTTGTTATAGTAAGGCCTCTCTTTGGGAAGGTGACCTTGCTTTAGTTTGTGATTAGTATTAATAATTTTGTATGATTACTGGCATTGAAGCTGTAAATAGAGATGTGTGGTTTATTAATCCATCTTTTTAAACAGTTAATTTGATGAAAGGAGATTATTTTGAGCACCTTAGAGCCTTATTGCATTTGTCAGAAAAAGATAATTAATGTCCCCAAAATTTTAATATTGTGAAAGAGGTGATGTAAGTTCAAATGAGGCCCATAATTGTGTGTGAAATTAAAGAAAAAAACCTGTGCTCTTGCCTTTCTAGTGCATTGTCAGCAAGTGCTAGGAGTTTTTAGTTACTCCTTTTTAACAATGGCTAACAATTAAAAGCTAGGATACATAGATGAAAGAGATATGACTTCATTTCTTAGATTCTCTTGACGACCTGACAAACCTGGTTATAAAGCTCTTTTCAGACACAGAAGATAAAAACGTATCAATTCCAGAGTTTCATGATCATCCTTATGATGATGAGCAAGTACAGGTAAGAGATTTTTAAGTTTAGATAACACATTTTAACAAATGCTGAAAGATTCTGTATCCCAGAGGGGCAGAGAAATCTAGTGAGACTAGAATCAGTTACAATGTAACAAGGAATATTTGATCTAAATTATAATTGGTGTTGCAATTATTAGCTGAGTATCTGATGATCCTACAATGTCAGATTGTTGGTTGAGTTATTGATTTGGGTCATTCTTGTTTCTTTTCATTGATGTGATTTGCCAGCTTTTACTAATACACAGTCATATTATGATTTGTTTTTCACATCACCATGAACAACATTTAGCTTTTTATCATATAAAACAAACAGATTCCATGTTGCCTTGGGTCTGTGCAGTACCTTTTGTACTAGATCACGAAAGGCCTGGAAATGTGGTGAGAGCATCAGTGATGCACTCACTTGTATTGCCTTGTGTGCAACTCTTTTCTCTTTTGTCCTTACCACATTTTGACATCATCTGTGATCTATTACTGAACAGACACATGGCAACGTAGAATCTATTGTTTAATTTTATGAGCAACTATAGGGATGATAATCATGGAGAAATGACTGCAAGGTTCTTATATTTATTGTTGATACTGGTCTCTTGATTTGTTTTGAAGGTAGAATTGAAAGTGGTGCCTATCAAAGACATAAAGCAGTTAAATATTTCCTTTCCAATCCCTGATGTTAACCAGTACTATGAGAGCAAGGTAAGTTTTCTCATTCATTGTGCTAATGATTGTGTGACTCTCACTCGTAGTGATCTTAATTAAGTGCCTGTCAGATGTCCAAAATGTGAATGTTAGATTTAACAAAAATCTTCACTTAATGTTATTGGCTATGAAATTGCTTAGTACATTGCTTGGATTGCAGCCTTGTCATTACATATCTCACCTCCTTGGTCATGAAGGTAAAGGAAGTTTGCTTTCAGAACTCAAAACCAAAGGTAAGTTTTCAAATGATGGAAGATTCTTTCACCCCAAGATCAAAGAAATGGTTCATTTATTTTGGGAAAAGCACTCAACTTATTGGTCAAACACTAAAGTGTCTCTTCTTAAACAATTGTAATTATAATTTTCTCAATTACTGTTATCATGATAATCATTTTATTTTTTTCACTCTTTAATTCTACTTACCACTGCATTCAATTCACACTTCACCTGGCAGATGCTTCTGCCAACTTCAATCATTACAAAGATTATTCATTTGTAATGCAAATGTTTGAAAATTTTTTGTACAAAGTATTTGTACTGGTAAAGTATTAAATCCTGTGTAACTTTTCCAAAGGGTAATATAAGATCTTTGCTAGTGCCTTGTTATCTAGACTTTGTATCTCCTTCACAAACTGTTAGATCTGTTAACTGCATCTTGTCATTTGCAGTTGTTAACTGATAACTTTTTTAATATCAGTTGGCAATTACTCCAACAGGCTGGGTGAATGAACTTGTTGCTGGAGGAGCAAGTGGAGCTAGGGGTTTTATGTTCTTTATTTGTAACATGGAACTCACATCTGAGGGACAAGGTAATCATGTTTAACTTTATTCATGTTTGCCCTTATAATCTGTTTTTATTTTTCTCATAATTATTAATGTCAGCCTTTTTATTTGGTGATTATTTGGTTGATGTTCCTAGCATGAAGGCCTTTTAGCACTGAAATGAACACATCAAAGCTTGTAGTTACAACAGTTACTTAACATTAAAAAAATTGAAAAACATGTCACTTTCATTACATTATACTCTGGAAGATGCAATTGTTTCCAAAATTTTGAGGGTAATCCCTCAATTTTGTTATTTGTTTGGAAAGAGTTGATGGTGACACTGGACATGTCATTTAACAACAAAATAGGTTTTCAAGATTTGAAACTGAATTATAACTTTAAAGTAACAATTGGTTCATACATCAGCATGCATTCATCGAGATATGAAGCACGCGGGAAGTTTGGAGAGCACGAAAGATGTGCAAGAGTTGTGTAGCCGAGAGCAACTATAGCTTCTTGAGTGCTCTTCAAACTTCCCAAGTGCTTCATATCTCGATGAACGGACAGCTGACATATGAACCAATTGTTTTATAACATTTTCAACCCGATGGAAAATTTTTTTTCTCAAGGGACTTGTTTACTGACGTCATGAGTGTGCACAATAAGAATATGAAGCACGCTTGCACAATTGAATTTGATTACACAAATTTACTAGCTATGTTATAACACCCACTGTAATTAAAAATGATTCAAATTCTCTATAATGATGTATGATGTCATTTTTTTGAAGACCATGTGTATGAAATAGTGGCATGTGTATTTCAATACTTGGAAATGCTCAGAAGGCAAGAACCTCCAGACTGGATATTTAAAGAGTGCCAGGTACTTTCATCAAACACTAGCTATTAAATAAGCATAGGCTAAATCTAGTCTAGACTGATAGTTATGCTGCATGTAAATTTTACATTAAGCAAGGCATTGTTCCTTAACAATTCACTGTGATAGTAATTACTTCATTCAGGCATTTTCCACCATTTTTTTTATCTGTAGATTAATGAAATTAGTGATGAAGGTTTAAAGAAATAATTCCTATGATGGTGTTCTTTTTGGCATGATCTTTTGGTAGGCCCTTTGTGAAGTTAGATTTCAATTTAAGGACAAGGAGAATCCTGGATCCTATGTGTGTTCATTGGCCCGCTGTTTACATGTAAGTGTTGTAATTCATTTGAGCAATATCTGATCAGTGTTCTCTGAGTCCCAAAGCTCAGTCTTTCTTAAAGAGTCATTTGGTGACCTAAAATCAGCAAATTATAAAACATAAGTTGCTTGAAGGAAAAAAATGGGAAGAGGACATTTTATATGATATTATAAGACTTCCTATACTTCTTGCTACACCCCTTGCCTGAACTAAGCATCATGGCTGGCTGACAATTTTTCTAAAGTCTTACAAAACAGAAACATCAAGGAGTTAGGTGCACATTTTTATCAAGGAAAACATGATTCAGAGCATTAAATATTATTTTTGTAAAATACTTGTCTCACTTTGATTTGAGATGTTGAAGCATTAACTATAATTAAAAAAGAAAGGTTACAACAGGTTGGTAATTGGCAGCCTTCCTTGTAAATTTAGTCACCAACATTTCCCTTAAGTTTCCTTGGCAGCCAAAAAAGGGGACAACTTGGAACACTGGGTGTTATATCCCCCACCAAGTCTAAATTTCAGTTGAGAGTTGAAAATAATCAGCAATTGCATTGGGTTTGCATTTCTGGGTCCAATCTGTATTCTAGGAGACTAGTACCATCCTTTCAATCTATTGGATGCAAAACTAAAACCAAGTGTTACTTATTTAGTCATTGATAGGCAGTTGGCTGTATTAATCTTGGAGATTGTATTGGCTTCTTGAGATATTTTCATTGTTCTTATCTTTACAACACTCAATTGAAATGCTGTGTGAACCTCAAATAGTTTGACCGTATATTTTTTGCAGGAGTTTGGAATAGATGATGTCCTACAAGGACAATTTGTAATGAAGTATTTTAAACCTGAATTGATTAAAATGATTCTTTCCCATCTTGTGCCATCAAAAGTGAGGTGAGATGTAATTTAATGTAAAGGTAAATAATGATTATGATCAAATTTGGGAGACTGAGGTTTTTACAAGGGATTTAACCACAAGCTGTGGCTGAATTATTTTCCCTAAGGTGTATATTGGGAGTAGGTTTATGTTTTGCCAAGAATACCCCAGCTAATTGTAAGATGATAAGTAAAACTTTCAAACAATCTTGTGGTGAAGAACAAGTTTTAAATTTTTTTGTGCTGGTTTCATACTTCAATGAGTTAACACCTGGAAAACTGATCTGAACCAACAAAGTATATTAAACAAATGGATGGAGAATCATACAACTTTGTGAATATTTTTCATAAAAGATGGCAATGTTAGCAAACTTCAGAATGATGTTATTGATTATAACATTCCCTTTGTATGCGTAAAGAGACATAATTAATTTGTATACATTGTTTATGCTGATCTACCAAAGAAAGTAGAGTACAGTCAAAACCTCAATTATTCGGACCTTGATTATTCGGACCTTGATTATTCAGATCTTGATTATCTGGATTTCTTGATCGTCCAGACTTTTTCTCTGGTCCCAATTTTCCCATGAATATTTATTAGTCATGATCAAGATACGTAGCCATATTTTATAAACTACAGCCTTGAAAAGTGAAAAGCGAGTTTGTTTTGCTTTCAAAAAGCAAAAGAAGCAGTTGCTGTTCCTCATTAATATTCATATTCTTGATTATCCTGACTATTTTGTGTAGCCCCAACAAGTCAGAATAATCAAGGTTCAACTGTAATTTTTATGCAACTCTTGTACTGCTCTCTTTTTCAACTCCTGGAGTCCCTTGAGATACTCTTTTGTGTTTCCTAGCCTCTTAAGATTTACTTTTTTTGCCGTATTTTCCATGTTTCTTCCACAGAATAACCCTGATTTCAAAACTTTTTGAAGGCAAAACAGATCTTGTAGAAAAATGGTATGAAACAGAATACTCTAAAAGCAAAATCTCTCCAGAGTACATGAAGGTAACAAAAAAAAGTTCTTTATCTGGTTGATTCCTTCATAATATTGAGTGGTTATAAAAATTCTTGGTTATAGTTTACCATTTTGTACAGTATTGATTGTTTCATTACGTCTTACCTCTTGTTCCTATTTATATTATAAAAGGCTGACTGTCACAT